TCTCTCTCTCTCTCTCTCTAACACTAATCAGTAAGATTTTGATAGTAGCAGAGTACTAAACATTTTGATATCATGGCTACCAGCTCAAGGTTTTAAATTCTTCTGTGAGCTGGGTGGTGATAGCACACGCCTTTAATCCCAGCACTCGGGGAGGCAGAGGCAGGTGGATCTCCGTGAGTTCAAGGCCAGCCTGGGCTACCAAGTGAGTTCTAGGACAGGCTCCAAAGCTACACAGAGAAACCCTGTCTTGAAAATTTTTGTGTCTTCTTCTTCTTCTTCTTCTTCTTCTTCTTCTTCTTCTTCTTCTTCTTCTTCTTCTTCTTCTTCTTCTTCTTCTTCTAAGATTTATTTATTTATTATGTATACAGTGTTCTGTTTGCATGTATCCCTGCAGGCCCCAGAAGAGGGAGCCAGATCTCATTACAGATGGTTGTGAGCCACTATATGGGTGCTGGGAATTGAACTCAGGACCTCTGGAAGAACAGCCAGTGCTCTTAACCTCTGAGCCACCTCACCAGCCCCCCTGGCTGCTGCTTAATATGGTTAAAAATTCTTCCGAGCTTCAGAGCCAGCTTGAATCCACTTGGGCAGGTCAGATCTACTCCAGATAAGTATAACTCAAACTTTCTTGGTCCCAGGATGCCCCCTCCCTCACCCTGGGACCCCTCGGGGACCCTCCCCCAGGCAAAATTTTCTAAACCACCTCTTCTGCCTCACCAGCGCCTTGTCAGACCCAAACAGTCACAGAGCCCTAAGCAGCAGAAGATGATGGACACTTCCCAAAGCAGCAGAAGGACTACCTCAGGACATCCGGCTACCTCAGAAGCTTCCTTCCCTACCCCAAGAGTTAACCGATGCCCACCGAGTCAGTTGGAAGCAGTTTTGGCAGACATGGTGCCCCTATTCCCGTCCACCTGCCATCTTTTTCAAGAACAAAGAGTCTGGGGATAATAGAATTCCTAGCCACTCCCCCATGACCAGGAATGTGCTGGCAAGACACTTAGCCATTCTGAGAACTTACTTCCTATGTAGTCCGTGTGCTGTGTGGTTACGTAATTTGTACACAGTGTGATCTATGCACAAGCGTAGTATAGCTACATAAGCCCATATACTAATGCGCAGGAGAAACCATAAAAGCGGATCCCACACACCCTTCCCCTCTTCCTGCACAATCTTTCAATAGGCCTAAGCACACCCCTTCTGTCCCCCTTCCCCTAATAAACTCTTATAGTGGGTTTTGTTGTGCCTCATGGCTGTTTGCATGGTAAACAGTGCCACATAATAAATAACACCCCCTACCCCCTTACAGAGATTCTCTGTGTAACAGCTCTGGCTGTCCTGGAACTCATTCTGTAGACCAGGCTGGCCTTGAACTCACAGAGATCCACCTGCCTCTGCCTCCCCGAGTGCTGGGATTAAAGGTGTGTGCCACCACCACCTGGCTATAGCAGTGATTTTAAGAGCAGAGGCTGTGGGTAACCAGTGTGAACATGCATTTAGTTAGCATAGCCCAGAGATGCACATAGCAAGTTGGAGACCAGTCAGAGCTACACGGGACCTTGTCTTTAAAAAGAGGAAGGGGGGCTTTGTTTACTGGGAAAGAAGAATATAAGAATAGCATCTCCAAGTGCTCTGTAGACAGCACCTGACCAGGATGCAGTATAAAAAGTTAATATAGAAGGCCAGACATGGTGGCACATACTCGTGATCCCAGAATTTGGGAGGCAGAGGCGGGGGACTTTGAGTTCAAGGCCAGCCCTAGGTTACATAATGAGACTGTCTCAGACAATCAATCAATCAAAGAAATAAATGGAAGGAACATGACTGAATGAGGACAAATATTTAAAACTGATTGAAATGTTTTATTTTCTTCCCCCTGTGACAGGGATTCTCTGTGTAACAGCCCTAGCTGTCCTGGAGCTAGCTCTGTAGACCAGGCTGGTCTCGAACTCACAGAGATCCTCTTGCCCCTGCCTCTCGAGTGCTGGGATTAAAGGCGTGTACCACCATTGCCCAACAAATGTTTCATTCTTAAATACAGGGAGAGTAGCTCTTTAGTAGTTCTGTACAAAACAGTTGATGCCTGCCTGTAATCCTAGCACTCTTAAAAGTTAAAAAAAAGAGAGAAGAGAGAGTGAGCGAGCTTGGGTTTATATAAAACTCACTGGCCACCTTTAAGGAGGACAGCATTTATTTAGTTACAGGTAAATAAACAACTTGGGTATGCGAAGGGCAAACAATAAAGCATACGATGTGACCACACAATTAACCAGTGAGAATATCTTCAGAACACTGCGGGTATGACCAGAGAGCCATTTGTTTTTTTTGTTTGTTTTTGCAAGCAGGTCTTGCTTCAGTCTTGCAGGGACCTCTGATTCAGTAGAAGCCACTGCACCCTCAAGTACAGTATATGCACACATAGAAACCCAAGCTATCTAACGTGGATGCAACTCCAGCTGGGTCAATGGACAGAAAGTTCGCATCTCAATGCATAGTATGCAATGCCAACACCCCCTATCATGGGTCATAGCACCATTCAGCACACTTAACACTGCCTCCTGTTAACTGATGGTGCAGACAGTGAGAGTAGCGAAGTAATGTAGTTTTAAAAATACATAACATGTTTAACGGTTCCTAATTGTATAGTAAATACGTATACACACGTACATGTATGTGTGTGTTTGTATGTATTTAACAAGAAAATAAATATCACTGCTTCAGCTTTAAAGATTATTATTTATTTATTTTTAAGACAGATTCTCATTATGTACCTCAGGCTCTCCTGGAATTCACTCTGTAGACCAGACTGGCCTTGAACTCTGCCTGCCTCTGCCTCTCAAGTACTGGGATTAAAAGTATGCACCACCATGTCTGGCTAATATTACCTTTATTAAAACATCAAGTTGTGCTACAGGTATGATGATAAAAACCAGCTCTTTGGCCAGGGGTGGAGGCAGAGACAGAGAGGAAGAGAAAGACAAGTCTCTGTGATTTCGAGGCTAGCCTGATCTACATAGTGAGACCCTGTCTCAAACAAAACAAAAACCAAGCATGTCTTTGTGTTAAGCCAAATGGAGCACGGCATCTAAATGATCATTTATCTGACTTCTGGGCCATGCTTACATCATTGGAAGTAATATCACGTGTGTGCATCCGCAGGGCCTTTGGGGCTCCTTTCTATTAACCAGCCTGCTCACTACTGATGTTATCTGGGTGGTTTCACGGTACAACCCTTTTCCCTAGTCCTTAGGGCAGAAGACAGTGGAGACGAGGCAGAAGGAGATGGTTCGTTTAATTACCTGTTAACGTCCGGGAAGCTCCCCTTGCATTCTGGCTGAAAGTTAGACATTGGGAGCATTCTGCAATTCCAGTTCCTAGCATTCCTGACTTTAATTATCAAAGATAATTGAGACTGGAATGGATTAATTTTAAGTAAATTTGACCCAAGACAATGGCAGTTCTGTTTGATGAGCAAATTGTGAGTCAAAGTTTCTTGCTTTTGGCGTGGAGGTGAATCTTGGGGTCTTGAACACATTAGGCAAGTGCTCTTATCACTGAGGACATCCCCAAACCAGCAAGTACACATTTAAGTCATTTAAAGGTATGTATAAATAAGTAAGGCAGTCAGAAATTTCAAAACGATCCTGGGAAGAACATTCTGTAGTCTGAAAATGCTTTAGCTTTAGAAAAATAGAGATCTCAGCTTAGGAAGAGTATTTGATTTTGTGATGTCCCAGATCAGACATCTTCATGTATGAAACCAACAAAGAGAACTATTTTGAAAATTGTGCCAGGTCCAGACAAGTGAATAATCTATATTGCAAGAGGCACCAGAGCTAGGCTGTTTGGCACCATGCCCCAGTGTCAGGTACATGGACAGGGACAAGGCAATCCATCTATAATCCTCACAGCTTGATTCTTTTTGTTTTTGTTTTTTTGAGACAGGGTTTCTCTGTGGAAGCCTGATTGTCCTGGAACTCACTCTACAGACCAGGCTGGCCTTGAACTCACGGAGATCTGCCTGACTCTGCCTTCTGGGTGCTGAGATTAAAGGAGTGTGCCACCCACTGCCCAACTCTAAAAAAAAAGATGGTTTACTCTAAGACAATAGCATGAGTCAAAGTGTCTGAATCGTAGCCCTTGATGCCACAGTCATGTGCACTAAGAAACACATACCGCCAGGGACATCATTCACAGACCACTTGGGAAGGATTTGTGTTGAGTTCAGCTTATTGCTGAACTCATCTTCTATGACACAATAAACTGGGTTAGAAGGAAGGCCAATTTCATTTCTAAGGAAGAGTTAGAAACTGTACTTGGCTACAGAATTCTTTCATAAAAATATAAACTTTTTAAAAATTGTACTAAATTGCATTACTTACTAAAAAAAGATTTGTTTTTGTATTTTATGTGTATGGGTGTTTTGTCTGAGTGTATGTATGTGTGCAACATGTGTGCAGTGGCCACAGAGACGAGAAGACGGCCTCTGAGCCTCTGGACCTGGACTTACAGCAGGTTGTGAGCCAGCGTGTGGGTGCTGGAGGCTGAACTCTGGTCCTCTGCAAGAGCAGAGTGCTCTTAACCTTTAGCCAGCTCCCCAGCCCACAAGTTACAGAACTTTTGAAATGATAGCCTGCCTTTGTATGATATTAGAGAACAATAACTCCTTGTAAGAGTAATTTATGACACCCAGTCATATTCTCGTGCTCAAAGCCCATTTATCTGGATCCTTCGTGGAAATATAGACTCTTGGGTTTTACCTTGCAAAGAAGTGGTTGAGTTGCAAAGCTTTTATTTCCAGTCTTTGTATGTAAAACCCTAGTCCCAGTGGATGACAGGAGGAGGGGGAAGAGAGGAAGAGAGGGAGGTAGAGAGAGAGAAGGTAGAGACTTCCTTCCTTCCTTCCTTCCTTCCTTCCTTCCTTCCTTCCTTGCTTCCTCCCTCCCTCCCTCCCTCCCTCCCTCCCTCCCTCCCTTCCTTCCTTCCTTCCTTCCTTCCTTCCTCTCTTTCTTTCTTTCTTTTTTCTTTTTTTTTTTTTGAGACAGGTTCTCATGTAACCCAGGCTGGCCTGGAACTCACTAGGTAGCAGAGGCTAACCTTGAATCTTCAATCTTCTTGCCTCCACCTAGAGGTGGGATGACAGGCATTTGCCACCATGCCTGGTTTAAGTTTTCATCAGGGCACCTGTATCAACAAACACCATCGTCCCTAAGACATACGCCGTTCTAATCACTTCTGCCCCCTGCGGAGGCCATGCTGCGGCATTTACCGCCAGTGACCACACAGAGCGCCCTCTAGCAACCAGGTGAGGTAGGCTGAGGAGAGGACTCAGGAAGTGTTGCAGGACACTAATTAAACATGTGCACCGTCTGTGTACTTTCTTCTGGATTGTTCTACCATCTGAATACAGGGTTGAATGAGCAAAAAGAGTATTCCTACCATGTAAAGCAAACCACAGATGAAAAAGGAAAAATCGTATTTTTGTGTGATGTCGAAGATCCACCCTACAGAAACAAAAAAATACAGATATATTCAGTATGACACGGTTTAAGACAAAATTCAAAGATATAAACCAGGCATTTATTGCTACTTCAAATTTTTTTTTTGTTTTTTGTTTTTTGAGACAGGGTTTCTCTGTGTAGCCCTGCCTATCCTGGAACTTGATCTGTAGATCAGGCTGGCTCAATTTTTTTTTTTTTTTTTGAGTTTGGGCTGGGGATTGGGGATGTAGTTCAGTGGTGATCACTTGCTTAGCACACATTAAAGCCAAGGCTCAGTCCCCAACAGTGCCCCTCCAATTTATTAACTTTTCTTTGTGATGCTGGGAATGGAACCCAGAGCACTGCACATGTGGCCGCCCTGGGCTGCACGGCCAGGCCTCATTCAGAATTTTTTTTTTTTTGATACAAGATCTTACACATTATACTGAAGGCTGGCCTCAAATTCACTAATGGTTGTTTCATTATTCTTTAATCTTTAATTTTTTTGTTTGTTTGTTTGTTCTTGAGACAGGGTCTCACTATGTAGAACTCACTACACAAACCAAGCTGGCTTAGAAGTCACAGAAATCCACCTGCCTCTTCTGTCTCCCAAGTGCTGGAATTAAAGGCGTGCACCACCATGCCTGGCTGTCGTTATTTGTTTTTAGTTTATTGTGTAAGTGTGTGAACTTTATGTACAGTAATAATGTGCTATGTGAAGGTCACGGAACACTTTGTATCGTGAGTTTTCTCCTTCCACCTTTCTGTGGGCTCCAGGGAGCTAGCTCAGGTCATCCAGCGTGTAGAACTTACATGGCAAGCACTTTACCCACTAAAGCTAGCTCATCATCCTTATTAAACATGTTATTTGACTTAAAAATAGGAGACCTCAGGTGTGGCAGAGGCAGGTGATCTCTGTGTTTGAGGCCAGCTGAGACATAGCAAGTTCTAGGCCAGCCAGAGCTACCCAATGAGAACCTGTCTCAAAAACAAAACAAAAGTCAAAAAACAACAGCAAAAAGAAGACTAAAATAAAGGTCATATTCTTTAGATGTGGCTTAGTAAAATGCTCTTGTCCTTACTCCATCTGCAATCTAAAACAAGATTAAGCACATAATCCAAAAACGAAATGATTCAGCTTCAGAATCTGAAAGCCACACTGACATTGACATCTTAACAAACCCCCACCAACTTCTGCTCAGTGACACCAGCTGCCTCCAATGGGACTCCTGTGAGTGATGACCAGTGTGTAAGTGAAGACGCTGTAGCTGGAGAGTGGTCTGTATCTACCTAGAAACAGGGCAGGTGAAGGGACTGGATGTAATTTGAAAGTTAGAAGATCAGGGCAGGACCTGGGGGCACAACAGGTCTGCCATCCCAGCTCCTGGAAGAATGTAAATTCAAGGTCTGCTTGGGCTACAGAGTGAAAATTAGCCAAGCTTGCCTCACACCTCTAATCCCAGTACTTGGAAGGCAGAAGCAAGGCAGACCTCTGTGGGTTCAAGGCCAGGTTGGTCCGCATAGTGCATTCCTCCCAATAGGAAAAAATAAAAAATGATTGGTGATGTATGTAGCCCAATGGTGATCACTTACTTGCTTAGTATATGAAGAGGCCCTGGGTTCAATACCCAGGGAGTCCAGAAGAGAATGTGGGTTCTCTGGAGCTGGAGTGGTTGTGAGTCACCTGATGTGGGTGCTGAGAACTGAACCTCTGGAAGAGCAGCAAGTGCTCTTAATCACTGACTCATCTCTTCAGCCCCCCCCCCCATACTGGGGGTTGAACCTAGCTAGGGCCTCACACTTGCCAGAGACGTGCTCTACCACTGTGCCACATCTTCAGCCATGTGAACTCCCTATGTAGCTGAGGATGGGTGAGATTTCCTGACCCGGCATGCACCATTACGCCTGGTTGTGATCTCTGTTCTTTGATTTGGAACTTGGGACCTTTGCAATCCTTTCACCCATTAACTCAAAGCAATAGCTTCAAAGTGAAACCTGGTTCCCTGTTCAATTGCCTTCCCTTTTCATTTGAGTGTGCCCAATGAGAAGGATAGGTGTCTTTCTCACCAATTAAATTGCTCCCAGCTCTTGGGCAACACTCAAAATGCTTGTTAGGGTGCTAGATTTTATTCAAATGGGGGTTAGCCATGTAGATACTCAAGCTAGCCAAATCTGATTGGCTGGATTTGTTTTTTTTTTTTTAATTTTTATTATTTATTTATTATTTTGTTTTGTTTTGTTTTTTTTGAGACATGGTTTCTCTGTGTAGCTTTGCACCTTTTCTGGAACTCACTCTGTAGCCCAGGCTGGTCTTGAACTTATAGAGATTCATCTGGCTCTGCCTTCCAAGTGTTGGGATTAAAGGCATGCGCCACCATCGCTCAGCTTGGCTGAATTTTTTTAGAAAGTATTTTGAAAATATCTAGACTACCAGGAAAACACCTATTACTATGACATCTTTTAAGGAGAAATGAATACCCAGCAATGTTATTTTAAGGTGTGTTACTTTTGTTTATGTTGCCTTTATCTAACTCTGTGAAGCTGTGTTACTTTGCCTGTCTAGAACGCCTGATGGTTTAATAAAGAGCTGAATGGCCAATAGCAAGGCAGAAGAAAGGATAGGCGGGACTAGCAGGCAGAGAGAATCTATAGAAGGAGAAATCTGAGAAAGAAAGAGAAGTAGCCAGAAGAGGAGGACTCCAGGGGCCAGCCACCCAGCTACACAGCAAGTCATGGAGTAAGAGTAAGAGAACAGGAAAAGCCCAGAGGCAAAAGGTAGACAGATTAATTTAAAATTAAGAAAAGCTGGCAAGAAACAAGCCAAGCTAAGGCCAATCATTTATAAGTAATAATAAGCCTCTATGTGCTTTATTTGGGAGCTGGGTGGCAGGCCCCCCAAAAGAGAAAAAAACAAACAACATGTTATAAAATGAACTAGATTGAAGTTGGTGTTGTCTACTGTCATGGTTGAAATGGCTGTGTAATATCTTGAATTGCATGCTTTCTCTAAATGGAAACACTCAAATGTCTAATGTGGCACTACATTGTACCAGGTTTTTAAATGGGACTAGAAATCTCCCTGAAAAACGGGGTTTGTTTCTGAAATCACTTACAAAAAAAAAAAAAGGTCATTGGAGAAGTAATTTTCTCTGCTGCCCGCTAAGTAGTATTTAAGCCCATTTGGGATGTCTAGCAAGAACTGAATGTGGTTATTTAGTTGATCCTATTGCCAGGCACCCTGACCCCATAGTGCACGAATGCTGGGCCTGCATCACATTATGACTTTAGTTTCTTGGTCTGGAGAGTAATTAAACATTCTGCAGACAGCCAACGAATGTCCTTCAGTGTATGAATCAGTGGGAGGAGAGGAAGCAGCAGACACAGGAGAAAAGGCCCTTCAGACCTGATGGATGGGGACACTAGCCTGGGGTCCTCACAGCAGTGAGGGGAGGCGCCCACAGAAACTTTTTTCTTTGGCTATTTCTATTGTGGTAGTGTTTTTGATGGTTTTGTTTTGTTTTGCTTTGAGATGGGGTCATATGGACCCCAGGCTAGCCTTAGGCTCCTGATATTCCTACCTCCACCTCCCAAGTTGCTTGAGATGGGGTCGTATGGATCCCAGGCTAGCCTTAGGCTCCTGATATTCCTACCTCCACCTCCCAAGTTGCTTGAGATGGGGTCATATGGATCCCAGGCTAGCCTTAGGCTCCTGATATTCCTACCTCCACCTCCCAAGTTGCTTGCACAACATGCCTGGCCTTAAAGTTCTCTCCTAACTATATACTAATATAAATATATGTGAAACATAGATTTAGTGCTTCTGTGTGAGCACATGCACGTGCCTGTGTGTGGAGTGCTTGGAGGTTGTAAGACAACCTGAGTGTGCACCTCCACCTTTCTCCATCTGTTCCTTCGAGGCAGGGTTTCTCCCTGACCTTGAGGTACACGCTTTCTTTCTTTCTTTTTTTCTTCCTTTTTTTAGTTCCTTTTGGTTTTTCAAGACAGGGTTTCTCTGTGTAGCCCTGGCTGTCCTGGAACTCATTCTGTAGACCAGGCTGGCCTTGAACTCAGAGATCCAGAGATCCACCTGCCTCTGCCTCCTGAGTGCTGGGATCAAAAGTGTTTGACACCAACGCCTGGCTTTTTGTTTTGTTTTGTTTTTTTAAAGACAGCATTTCTCTATGCAGCCCAAGCTGTCCTGAAACTCAGAGATCCCCCTGCCTCTGCCTCCCAAGTCCTGGAGTTGAAGGTGTGCACCCCCATGGTGCCTGGCCAGAGGCAATTGTATTTTGGGTTAGACCTTTGACTGCCAGAACAGTAAGATAATGTTTATGGCAGCTTATTCGAGCAGCGACAGACAACAAAAGGCATGGATGCCTTTGGTGGTCTTTTGAGACAGAGTCTCACCTTGGACTCTAGATCTTTGTCTCTGCCTCTGAAGTGTTGGGACTCTAGGCATGGACCACCACATCCAGGGTCTGACATGCTGGGTGTAGAACTCAGGGCATCCTGCATGGTAGGCAGGCACTCTATCAACCAAGACACATCCTTAGCCCTGTTCTTGGTTTCTTCTCTTTTAAAAGTTTCATTTATTTAATGTGTGTATGTGTATGGGTCTGTGCCACAGTACCAACATGGAGATCAGAGGACAATCTACAACCTTTCCTTCTTTCCTTCCACCACGTGAGTTCTGAGCATTGGACCCAGCTCATTGGGCTTGGTGGCAAGTGCCTTTGCCTGCTGAGTCACAGGTTTTGATGTCTTGAGACAGGTTTTGATCATGTACCTACGGTAGGCCTGGAATTTGTAACAATCCTCCTGCCTCAATACCCCTACTACTGGGGTTATAGGTGTGTACATCTGGCCTTTTTGTTTTGATTTTTGTTTTTTGAGACAGCTTAGGCTGACCTCTACCTAGCAGTGCTCTTTCTACCTAAATTTCCCAAGTGCGGAGATCACAAGCATGTGCCACCACACCGAGCTCTGACATTGGACTTTGTAAGGGCTGGGGACCCATCCTGCCCTCCAGCATGCACTCTAAGCTCTGGGTACCTTGGGGGCACTCACCTGCAAATGGTGGTCCCAGTAAAGCTGAGATGCCATTGGCACAGATGATGATGCCATAGGCATTGGCCAAGTGCTCAGTGCCAACCAGGTCCTCCGTCACCACCGGCATGAGGGAGAAATACCCGCTGGAAAACCCAATCAGGGCGCAAATGACAGCCAGGCTCGCATAGGTGTGCATCAGTGGCAGAAGGAAGATGCTGGAGACCAGGGTGAAGTTAGCGATGAGGAAGACGTTCCAGACGCTGGTACAGGGGAGGTCAGCCACCGCCCCCAGGATCACCTTCCCGAAGATGTGAAGGACTGCTATAATTGAGGTCAGAGGGAACACGTCGTTTTGCTCCGACAGGTTATACAAACTGACGATTTCCGGCAGGTGGATAAAAGGGATGACAAAGCTGCTGTATGCAAACAGAGCCCAGAAAATAAAGGCCACAAACACGCGGTTGGTGAAGAGTGAGGCTGTTCCGAAATAGCCCGAGTACCAGTCCCTGAAGCCCTTCTGGACTCGGACAGTGAGCTGGCTCACTGTCTTCAGAACCCGGAAAGCACACATGTTCTTCCTGGGACGGGTTTGACCTTGACACTCCTGTGCTTGAAGGTCACAGACAGTCTCCTCATTCTCAGGCTGTCTGTCCTGTTCTTCAGTCATGCCCAAGGGTCCTCCTGATTTTACAGATTCAGTGGAGTAAGCTGGGAGGGCACAGGGCTCCTCCCCTCGTGGGCAGTTTTCTACCTTCCCAGGAGAGAGGGGTCTCATGAGCGCCCCACAGACACACAGGTTCAAGGACACGGCACCTTGTATGAACATGGCATTCCTCCAGCCATACTCTGCACACAAGTATTTCAGCAAAACTGTCATCAGGAATGTCCCAAATCCTGTCCCTGTGGTACTGAGGCCCTGGGCCAGGGCTCGTCTCTTCTGAAAGTACCTTCCCACCATGACCACCGCAGGCAGGTAGGCCATCCCGCTGCCGAGGCCTGCAGGTGAGATGGGAAAAAACACAGGCAGAGTCAGGATCCATAGTGCATAAAGATCACCTGCTGTGTCAGGCGGCTTTCCAGACTGTAGCAAAACCACCTGAGGTAATCAACTTAAAAAGAAGGAAGGTTTCTTATGGTTAGCAATTTTAGAGAACTTACTTCGTGATGCTTTGGGGCATGTCATGACAGAGAGTCATGACAGAAAAGTAAAGAAAAAGAGGAAGAGAAGACTAGGCATCTGACTGTTGGTAGAATGCTTGCCCTAGCATCCATGAATTCCCAGCACCACAGGAAAGTGGTCCCAGTCACACCACATGTCCTAACATTTAGGGAGTGGAGAGAGGAGGATCAGAACTTCAAGGTCATTCTCAGCCAAACAGTGAGTTTGAGGCCAATATGGGATGCAAAAGACCCTGTTTAAAGGGGAGGGGGGCATTTTCCCAATTACATATTCCTTCCACTAGGCCCTACTCCCTAAAGATGCCACTACCTCTCAACGGCCTGTCTTCACTACACAGCCTTCAGGGACACTTAAGATCCAAACTGTAACACCTCCATCTCCTTACACCATTGTACTTTTCCATTCTAAGGAAGGAATAATAGTGACTATGTAAAGAAGTTCTGGGGAGAGGGGAGCCAGGAGGAGCCGCCATTTTCCCCATCAAACTTTGCAGTAGTTTCCACCAATAACATCAGAGCAGATTCCTCCTGTAAGATCAGAAGATTCAAAACACAGTGAGTTCTAGGCCAGCCTCACCTGAGGAGCAAGGCCCTGTCTCAGGCAGAATCAAACAGAAAAGAAAGTGACAAGTCCCTTGTTGGAGCACTGTCCATGAATGAAGCTGTGTGAGAATTTCTGAGAACTTGTGAATTAGCCCAGTAAACAAGACAAGTATTGTAACCTCTGTTCCTTCCATAACAAGGGTTGCTCCTGGAAGGAGCTTTCATGCCCTCCCAGGTGAGACACTAGGAGGGGTTTACTTAGTCACCATCATCCTACCCATTATTATTCAGAATGATGTTCCCAAGCACCAGCTGCCCTTGTGACTGTATACAGCTTGAATGCTAGTGAATGCTGCTCACATGACTAACCTAACCCTCATATTACTCTCAGAATATAAATTGTCTGATGCCCTGAATAAAGATGGCCATTGCATGAGACCTTACTTAGTCTGCCTCATTTCTGGTCTTCTACTCTCCCAGGTTTACGCCTCCTGCTAGAGCAGTAACAGTCCCTAAGCCTCCTGCCAGCGTCAGTGAGGGCAAGACAAAGTCCTCAGCAATGGGCCAAACCTGGACCAATCTTTATAAAGCTTATGATCACAAAGATAGAAATCTAGAATTTCTTAGAATGTAAAATAGACAAAGTAAAAACAGCCCACAGAGGCCAGCAGACAGCTACAGGACAGAGGGGCTTGCTGTCAACACACACACACACACACACACACACACACACACACACACACACACACACACACACACACGGAAAGGGGCTGGAGAGATGGCTCAGTGGTTAAGAGCACTTGCTGCTCTTGCAGAGGACCCGGGTTTGGTCTCTCTCCCGTGTTAGCACCCACATGAAAGCTAACAACTACCTGTAATTCTTGTTCCAGGGGGTCTGACGCCCTCTTCTGGCCTCTGAGGGCACTGCACAAATGAGACTCATATACATGCAGGCAAAATTCCCATAAACATAAAATAAAAATAAATAAATCTTAAAAAAAAAAAACTTCTAAAAATATTAAAAAGACATCAACCATGGTCCATCACCAGGTCCACATCCTCCTCATGGGTTGATTGAGTTTGGGCCATCTGTAACATCTACCTGCTATCTGAGAAAATTAACAAAGTAAAAAATATAGAAATGATAAAATACCTAGATGACTGTATATCTAAAACCCTAGCTTGATCCTCCAAGAAATGAGAAACTCAATTTCTGTGGCCAGTGTGGACTTTTGAGACCTTGTCCCTTTAGAAGCTGGCTACAAAATGTCACTGTCAGACAGACTCTGCAGTCATACCCTCAGCGCCCAGCCTGTCTGACATCAACAATGCCACCTGGACCACACTGCTGTGAAAGGAAACCCTCCCTCTCCTACCCCATTACCCCCTCCCTCACCCGGTTCCACTCTTCTCTGGTCCTGTGGTAGTTGTTAATTCTCTCCTTCTATCACATGGGTCCCAGGATGTAACACCTACTTGGTGGTAGGAACCTTTGTCTGCTAAGCCATCTCACTTGCCCAAGACAAATCTTTTCAAAAAAGAGATTAATTATATATTAATTATTAATATATTTTATATATATATATATTTAAAAAGCCTCCTCAATGAGTGTGTCTATGGCTATTCTTAAAAAAAAAAGCCCTGGCCGGGCGGTGGTGGCGCACGCCTTTAATCCCAGCACTCGGGAGGCAGAGCCAGGCAGATCTCTGTGAGTTCGAGGCCAGCCTGGGCTACCAAGTGAGTCCCAGGAAAGGCGCAAAGCTACACAGAGAAACCCTGTCTCGAAAAACCAAAAAAAAAAAAAAAAAAAAAAAAAAAAAAAAAGCCCTAAGTGGATGAACCACAGGGGTCGCACCTGAGAAATGTACCATGAGGATGTGCTGTTGTCTGAATATCATACATCATACAAAAAGTGCTTTTCCAGCATGCACGAGACCTGCCTGCCTCTACCTCCCAAGTGCCAGGATTAAAAGCATGCACCACCACCACCTGGCTAGGATCAGAATTTCAAGGCCATCCTTAACCACAAATTCCACCTAGCCTGGGCTACAAGAGACCCATCAAAATCCAAAGTATGTCAATGCCACAGAACATATCACCTAGTGTCTTAAACAAATTCAACAAAATAAATTGCAAGAGGCATCGGTGTGGGGTTAGGAAAAGACTTAAAATAGGCAACAACAGGGCTGGAGGGATAGCTCAGCCGTTAAAGGCTAGGCTCACAACCAAAAATAGGCAACAACAAACAGCAATGTGTAAAACCCTTTTTGGACTGCAGTTTAAACATGCAAGTTTTGGGGGACGTCGTGTACCCCTTCCCTCCTTCCCACCCCCTCTCATGCTATATAAGCCTTGCTGAGGAGAATAAAATTTGCAGCTTGATCAGAACACTGTCTTGCTGTCTTCCTTTCGTGTCTCCCCCGTCCCTTTCATTCTCTCCCGCAGGTGGGTCGCCCCCATTGACACCCCACTGGCCGGGGCAATTCCTCTTGTCTTAAGCGATATGCTTGAGTTTATGTCATATTTATGCTACACATATGCTACTATGTTTGTTTATCAGCTAACATTTACCAAGTACTTTAGTATGTACCATCATGCTTAGCATTTTATGTAAATTACTCCCATCATTTCAACATGCTACTCTGGTACTCTTACTTGCTCTTCGATTTGCACATAAGGAAACTGAGGTGTAAGGAGCTTCAGTGACAAGTCTAATGTGCCTATTGTCACACAAATACTAAGTGGCTACAGAAGGTGGACACAGATGGGTGCAACTCAGTGGTAAGTGTGCTTGCCCAGAAGGAATGAAGCCCTCAATAAACCAGGCCTGGTGACACACTGCTGCAATCCCAGTACTCAGGAGGTGGAGGTGGGGGCATGAAAAGTTTAAGGTCCTTCTCAGCTACACAGTAAATTCAAGGCCAGCCTGGGGACACATAAGGACCCATCTTATAACAGAAATGAATAAATAAATAGACAAAACCTTTGGTTTTTACATTGTTTGTTTTCTGAGATAAGGTCTTCACACATAGTCCCAACTAATTTTAACCTTTCCATCACCTTGCCTGAAGCTTCCAAGTGTTAGGATTACAGACATGCTGTGTATCACCATATCCCAACCAATAACTTTTCCTTGCTTTGTTTTTTGAGACAGGGTCTTGTGTAGCCCAGGCTGGTCTTGAACACACTGTATGTAGCTGAGGATGGGTCTTGCATTCTGGATCTTCCTGTCTCCACCTCCTTAGGGCTAGAATTATAGCTATGTACCACCACATCTGGACCTTTTCTTTTGTTTATGGTTTTGTTTTCGATTTTTGAGACAGGGTCTCACTGTGTATTCCTGGCTGTCCTGGAACCATTCTGTATACCAGGACTTTGAACTAATAGAGATCCTTCTGCCTGTATCCTGAGCACTGGAATTTCCTTTCTTCTTTTCTTCCTTCCTTCCTTCCTTCCTTCCTTCCTTCCTTCCTTCCTTCCTTTCTTCCTTTTATTCTGAGAAAGAGTCTCACTATATAGCCTAGGTTGAAATTCTCTATGTAGTCCAAACTGAACTCAAACTTTTGGTAATGCCCCTGCCTCTGACTCAAATGCTGTAAATGCATGTGCCACTACATCTGGCTTTCTTAATCAAAATAGCTTTCAATTCTGATTCAACAATTCATTTTTGAGGAGGATCAGAGTTCTGTTTCCACAGAGTCAGACAGGATCAGCTTCACCAGAACACAGGGTTCCAGGAAATAACTACTCACTGTGTGAACCCCACAACCTGTGGGTGAAGGAAATTATGGCTAGGAATACATTTTGCAGAATGCAAATCACTCTGCATGGTGTTCAGTTTTAATCCATCCCCTGCCTGTGTGCTAGACTGGCTTCTGAGAATCTCAACCTGCCTGTGGCTTGTGCTAATTCATTCATCTGAACAGAGCTGAAAGATAAATGACTATTCCATTATTCACGTTTAGTTCTATATTTATTAATGAGACAGTGTCATTCATTTCCCTAGAAATTTGTTTACTCACTTAAATTTGTGTCATTATCCCCCCTTTCCCATTCTTCAAAGGAGAAAGATCTACCTTAGCACTCAGGAGCTGGCATGAAAGTTTGAATTTTGTTCTATTTGGGAAGCCAAATACAGTTGCTAGTAAGTTACCCACACATAAAGGACACTTAGCATCTATTAAAGTTTTTCTTGGGTCAATGGATAAGAAGGCTTGCTATGCAAACCAAGGATCTGAGTTTGAAACTACAATATCCGAGTAAAAAGTTGGATGTGGCTTTGTATATTGTAACACTAGTGGGGTGGGGTGTCACCAGCAGGAGGCTCTCTGGGGCTTGTTGACTGCCAGCCTAGCTCCAGATTCAGTGAGAGACCCTGTGTCAAACAATAAGGCAGAAGATGACAGAATGGCGCACACACACACACACACACACACACACACACACACACACACACACTTCCAAGATGAGAACAGAATGCCTTAAAATTTTTTTTAAAGATTTGTTTATTTTATTTTATTTGTGTGAGTGTTTTGCCTGTATGCATACATGTAAACTGTTTTGTGTGTTTGTGTGTGTGTGTGTGTGTGTGTGTGTGTGTGTGTGTGTGTATGTGTGTGTGTTATCCACACAGGTTAGAAGAGGATTTCAGATCCTCTAGAACTGGAGTTACAGATGGCCATGAGCTGCTATGTGGGTGCTGGAAATGGAACCTGGGTCCTTTGCAAGAACAAGTGCTCTTAACTGCTGAGCCATCTCTCTACACCATCAAGAGAATGTCTCAATGGGTCTCTTTTCTCCACAGTTAAATTCGTCATCTAAATGCACAAGACACTGAAATAAAAAAATGTTAAACCATGCTTACCAGCTGCCACTCCAAAGGTAATAAAGAGAGACTGCACGTTGGCTGCATAGGCACTCAACACCCAGCCGAGGGAGTTCACCAGCCCTCCAATGATTGCTGTTTGGCGGCACCCACAGGTGTTAATGAACAAGCCGATGAAAGGTCCTGCCACAGAGCAGTGGAAAAGGCACTGACTAGAGGCTCCTTGTTGTCTTAGTGCCCCCACACAAAAAGTTAAAGAATAAAACATTACCAGGGCTGCTTAAAGAAGACCAAACCAGGGCTAGCAAGATGGCTCAGCAAGAAAGGGGCTTGTGACCAAAGCTGCCAACCTGAGTTCAAGCCCTCAAACCCACTTGGTAGAAAGAGACCAGACTCCCACAGGTTGATGACCTCCACACATGCACCCCCCCAATAAACAAATAAATATAATTTTTAATAACACAGGCAAAACCAAAACATCTTATGATGGGGTCTCTGCAGGTGTCAAGGCAGGTAACCATTTGAAAAGAGGTAAGAATGAAAAGCCCGTTCAGATTGACTTGGTCAACCTGGATCAAACTGGGAAGTCTTATGCCAGGCAGTTTATTGTAAGCATATTTAAACACAATAGATTTTGAAAAGGGTTTTCCAGGCTAAAATCATTCCAATTACAGGTGCCCAATAAAGCTTAAGGGGTGACCACATAGAAACTCCTTTACAAAGTACATGTGACCATGAAGGTGGGTTCTACAGCTAAAAGGCCTGGGATCTGGTGTGGTCTCTGACAAAGATAGCACAGAGGTCAACAGGCCATAAAGGACATGTGACATCTCCCCTAAGGATGGGTTCTATTAACTTGGAACTAAAGATAAAGGTCTAGGGCGAGAGAGTCTGGGATAATCATTCTGGGGGGGTTGGATGAGGTCAGCCTCTACAGATAGCAAAGGTCACAGGGTCATTGACAACACCTACTCCAGCTTTCTGGATGGAATGCAGGTATTTTATTGAGAAGAGGTAATGCAGTATTTATTGTCCACTGAAGAGACACCCCTAAGTGAATAACATTCTGGTTTCCCTTGAGATCTTTGGGCACAAGGACTTTTGTGCTCCCATCAATCTTAAAAGTATAAAAACCTTGCAGATGTATATAATCTCATCAGAGAACAAATGATTCTAGACTGGAAACAAGCAGTCAGCCTCACTCTGCCTACAACAGAAGTCCTTGGCTAGTGTTCTAACAGGATCCCACCTGGCATGTATTTTCTTGACCTTACACAAAGTTTGAAAATGTGTGGAATAAGCAAACACTTGAAAATGAGAGAAATCACACACACACAAATTCAGTAGCAACACTGATGAGTTTCCTACCTATCCCCAACTGACTGGGGCCATGTGATGGCTGACCCTTTGGCTTGGCCACACCCTCTCAGGCTAGTAGCAATTTCTACCCTTGCTTCTTGTCTTCTTCCTGGCCTTCTAGCTTCCAATGCAGATGAGGTTAAATTTCACTTATGACATTTGTTCATGCATCGTGTGTGTGCATGTTTGTGTGGGTGACTGTGCCTTGGTGTTGGAGTGGGGGTTAGAAGACAACTATAGGAGTCCATTCTCTCCTTCTACCATATGGGTTTGAGGGATGGAACTCGGGTTGTCAGCAAGTGCCCAACTGAACCAACTCACTGACCCACACCAGAAATTTTTACTCGAGTTCGGTTTTTTTTTTTTTTTTTTTTTTTTTTTGAGACAGGGTTTCTCTGTGTAGCCCTGGCTGCCTTGGAACTCACTCTGTAGACCAGGCTGGCCTCAAACTCAGAGATTCACTTGTCTCTGCCTCCTGAGTGCTGGCATTAAAGGCGTGTGCCACCACTGCCCAGTCTGACTCCAGTTCTAAAGGAAACATTGGAAAAGGATTTTCATAAAGATGTCTATAGCCAATCACAGAACACCCAACTCGAGCAAAACTCAAAAGTACTTGCTGTCTTCAATACACTCAGGCCCTGCTTTCTCCCCCAGTTCTCCTCTGAGACCATTAGGCTACAATTTTTTTGGTTTCATGCAGCCCTGGCTGGCCTTGAATTGCCTATGTAACCAAGGATGACCTCGAACTTCTGACCCCCCTGCCTCCACTTCCCAAATGCTGGGATAACAGGCATCTGTCACCATGCTCGGTTTATTAGGTGCTGGGGGATGGACCCCTGGGCTCTTCATGCATGCTAGGTACGTGCACTACAGCTGACCTGCATCCCCACTCCCAGGATGTGCATTTTTGACACCCTGTAGAGATCCAAGATGGTTGTCATCACTTTATATGGTTATTGAGTGCTATACTTGAGTGGGGTTTTTTGACTTAAAAACTAATTTAGGGCTGGAGAGGGGGTTTCCGTGGGTAAAAGAAGATAGCCGTGCAAGTCTGATGACCTGAGTTCAATTCCTGGAACTTACATTGGAAGGGAGAGGGCAGATTTCTGAAAGTTGTCCTCTGACCTTTACATGCATCACACTCATACATTAATAAATAAAATAATTGAGCTCTCAAGAGTTTCCCTGCTTAGCCCAAACTAAAAAAAACTTCCCTGTGAGGTCTCTTTCTTCTGTGCTGCAGACAAGGCCAGTGCATTAGTTACTTTTCTTCTGCTGTGACCAGTCCTGATAAAAACAACTTAAGGGAAAATTTGTTTGAGCCTGGGTTAAAGGGGTTCCTTTATCAAAGACATCACCGGGCCTGGCCACATTGTGTCTGTCATCAGGAAGCAGAGAAAGACAAATACTGGCGCTCAGTCAGCTTCCTCCAGACCCACATTTAGGGTGGGTCTTACCTCTTTAGTCACATCAACACAAACTCTACAGAGGTTTGTCTCCCAGTGACCCTAAGTCTGTCAGATTGACAGTGAAGAGTGAGCATCGTACTGGGCAAGTGTTCTACCATTCAGCTACAGCCCAGCCTTGTCTGCTGTGTGCGTATGTGCTTAAAGATTTATGTTATTTTTACGTATTTATTTATTCACTATGTAGCCCCAGCTGGCCTGGAGCTTGCCATGTAGACCTGGTTGGCCTGGAAGTCACAGAGATCTACCTGCCACCTGCCTCTGCCTCCCAAGTGCTAGGATTAAAGATGTGCACTACGACACCTAGCAAGATTTATTTTAAAACTATATTTATTTATTTTATGTGTATGAGTGTTTTGCCTGCATGTATGTATGTGTACTACGTGCATGCCTGTTGCCTGCAGAGTCCAGCAGAGGGAGTCAGATCCCCTGGAACTGGAGTTTGAGATTATGAGGTACTTGTGGGTGCTGGAAAGTGAACCCAGGACCTCTGCAGGAACAGTCAGTGCTTTTAACCACTGAATCATCTCTCCAGTTTCATTATTTTGTTTTTAATTATGTGTATGTCTGTGTATTATGGGTATGTGCATGTGAGTGCAAGTGAAGGCGGAGGTGTCAGATATTCCTGGAGCTGGAGCTACTGGCAGTTGTGAGCCACTTTAGGTGGGTGCTGGGAACCGAACCCAGATTCTCTGCAAGAGCAGCAAATGTGCTTAACCACCCAGCCATCTCTCCAGCTCCTTGTCTAGAGTCTTTGAAAATGCATAACTTGAAACATGAATGTAAAGACTTACTTAATAAATTCTGACATTAATAACAACTGGGTTAACTTCTTTTTTTTTTTTTTTCTTCCTTTTTTTTTTTTTTTTTTTTTTTCCGAGACAGGGTTTCTCTGTGTTGTTTTGGTGCCTGTCCTGGATCTCGCTCTGTAGACCAGGCTGGCTGGCCTCGAACTCACAGAGATCCGCTTGGCTCTGCCTCCCGAGTGCTGAGATTAAAGATGAGCACCACCACCGCCCGGCAAGGGTTAACGTCTTATAACAGACTTATTACATACTAAATATATTTTTATACAGTACATGCTATATATTAGTATAATATTAATATATATTAATAATTAGTAATAAGTTAAATATATGTATATTATATAAACATAAAATCAGCCCATTGTTATGAAAATCTGGATGAATTCTTGGGAGTTCTGAAATTGAGATACCATGAGTTTGATGATATTTCTTTATAGACATTAAAAAACATTCAATTACAGGTCCTATGGAAGAGCAGCCATTAATCTTAACCACTGAGCCATTTTTCCAGCCCCACATTTTACTTGATATACATTCACACTCACTCAACCATGCCATAGTTGGGGACCAAGTGACCCAAAATGGAACATGTGTGACTCCTAGTTTTGCTGCTGACAGCCCTTTGACATATGAAAGACCAGCAGGCTACAGTACGATGTTTCCAACGTAACAGAAAGGATTCAGAGGTGAGCTTTTATGATATGCACACTTATGAAAATTTCTAAGACATTTAAGAGAAATAAAAAGAAAGGAAAGCCACAAGTCAGGGTGAGTATTACTAGCTAAAGGATTTTACAAGCCAGAAGGAAGGTGTTAGCTGCTGTACTGACTGGCTTAGTTTTTGTTGGTTTTGTTTTGCTTTTTGTTTTTTGAGACAGAGTTCCTCTGTGTAAACAGCTCTGCCTGTCCTGGATCTCACTCTGTAGACCAGGCTGGCCTCAAACTCACAGAGATCTGCCTGCCTCTGCCTCCCAAGTGCTGGGATTAAAGGCGTGTACCACCACTGTCCAGCTTAGTTTTGTTTTTTAAGCATTGCTCATGAATACCTGGCAGGCATTACCAAGAGCTAACTGCCATTACAGCAAAATGAAAAGGACTGATTCCACAAGACACATGCACGCACGCCAAATAATAAAGAACACTTGCCCCACACTCTTGGGACAAAAGGAACACTAAAACCCAGATCCAGTGATTTCATTATGGCTCTTGTTTGGGAACAGATGATTGTGAGCCACCACATAGGTTCTGGGAACTGAAAGAGCAAGTGTTCTTCACCACTGAGCCATCTCTCAGTCCTGCCCTAGTTTTAAGACCAATGAAGAACCGAAGGTGTCAATAATGTCATAGACATTTGTCAACAATATTTTTTGTTTGCTTGTTTTTGGTTTTTGAGGCAGGGTTTCTCTGTGTAACAGCCCTGGCTACCCTGGAACTTGCTTTGTAGATCAGGCTGGCCTTGAACTCACCTGTCTTGAACATCCGTCTGTCTCTGCCTCCCTAGTGCTAGGATTAAAGGCATTTACCACCACTGCCCAGCTACCAACAATCTTTTCACATACATATTTGTGCCCTTGGGTCTCATGTATGCTGGCTGTTCTGGAACTCGCTATACAGATGAGGCTGGTTTTGAACTCCTAATCCTCCTCTATGGTGGTTTCAATGGGACATTTCCCCCTTAGGCTCATGTATTTGTACACTTCATCCCTTGTTGGTGATGCTACTTGGGAGGTTATAGAATCTTTAGGAGGTGGAGCCTGGCCAAAGGAAGTGGGTCACTGGGGGTGGGCTTTGAGGGTTTATAGACTCACCCCACTTCCTGTTTGCTTTCCCTGCTTGTGGCATGTACACAGAGACATGATCTCTCAGCTTCCTGTTCCTGCTCCCACACCCACTGTGTCCTGCCATGCCTCCCTGCCAGGATAGACTCTTAACCCTTTGGAACCATAAGCCAAAATAAGTGCTTTCTTCCATGAGTTTTATTACAAATGGAAAGGTAGCCAACCCTGGTTAATCTTTATCTTTTTTTTTTTTTAAAGGTTTATTTATTTATTATGTATACAGTATTCTGTCTGCATGTGTCCTTGCAGGCCAGAAGAGGGCACCAGATCTCATTACAGGTGGTTGTGAGCCACCATGTGGTTGCTGGGAATTGAACTCATGACCTCTGGAAGAGTAGTCAGTGCTATTAACCGCTGAGCCATCTCTCCAGCCCCTAATCTTTATCTTTTAAAAATATTCATCGAGGGGCAGCAGATGCAGTGCAGTGGTAGACTGCTTGCTTAGCATTTGTGAGGCCCTGGACCTGATACCCAACAGTGCCCCCAAAACATTCACAAAGTTAAATAACCTGAGTGAGGTGGTTCGTGCCTGTAATCCCAGCATCTGGCTACGTACTGAGTTTAAGGCCAGCCTGGGCTATGTGAAACCCTGTCTCAAAACAACAGAAATGTTGCCAACTCTAAGGAACCACTGAGCGAAGGCCAATTCCAACAAAAGTGTTAAACAAGCAGACGTGATGAAAGTGAATCATCAGTTACAAAATCAGTGTGGAGGTCAGGGGGTGAAGGCACTGGCTGACTCTAGTCCGGCAAATTGAGCCTCATCCCCCAGGACTGAGATGGTGGACGGAGAGAATCAACTTCTACAAGTTGTCCTCTGACGTACAAAAGGGCCTTGGAACACACACACACACACACACACACACACACACACACACACACACACACACTCACAGAGCTAAATGGTAAATTTGGTGTTCTGAATATTTTACTTCAATTTTAAAGTTGTTGTTGGTGATAATCTGACCCTAATGTTTCAGGACTGTGATGAATTACACTCTCTCTCTCTCTCTCTGTCTGGATGAATTACTCCCAACAGCGACTTGTCATTTTATAGCCACCCCCTCTTAGAACAGGTGGCAGTGAACATACCCACGATCAAGGTGATGCCCATACTCAGGGAGCTGACCCAGGCGGTCAGGCCACGGCTCTGGTGGAACTCTTCAAGCCACTCCACGTTGAGGACTCCCAAGGCCATCTGTGAGCCCATGATGAGGATGTGTACAAAAAAGGAAGAAAGGACCATCATCCAGGCCCACCCGCCATCAATGTCTGGGTGGGGCTTCAGGGCCTTCTTAGCCTTGGGATCATCTTTAAGGTCATACCCGATATCTTCATGACTTGTATACATGGTTCTAAGGTTTTCTGAAACACATACAATAAATAATTTCATCACACATTGAAACAAGCAAACAAAAAATCCACCTTCTTGTCTTCGGACAGCTCTACCTCCCACTGCAATCAAAGCAGCTTCAGGGTCAAGTGATGCTCAGATTAGAGTTTGTCACTGGTAGGTCTGGGGACATGCTTTACTTCTTTACAGATCACTTTAAAGTCTGTCGTTATAACCACTTCATAGATACTATAAAGTTAAAGAAAGGAGAAGAGAGGGTAGGGAAAGGTGGAGGAAAAAGGAAGAGGAGAGATGGAGAGAGAGAGCGCAAGCCCCCTGTATGTGATGGGTAAGACAGACTAGTCTGTTCTCTGGGCCTGACGGTAGGTAGTGACAGCAAGTTGAACCCTATAGTTTAATGTCTTTGGTGAACTAGGTAGTTAGCTCACTGCCTGAGAATGGGGAGTGTGGAGAATGTAAGGAGGCATGAATGTTCAGGATAACTGAAGCAACCACTGCCTACAGGTGGAAATGACTGTTGGGTAGTTTCTTAAGTCAAGTGGCACCACTGCAGGCTAGAGCCAGTGCCTGCAGAGGTGGAGCATGGTATCTAGACAGATTGAACACGGCCACAGAGAACCTAAAATAACAACAAATGACTACAAGTTGGTCTGCTGTCACTGAATGCCAGCAATTCTAGACAAAGATCCCGATAAAAAACTCCTCTGGCCTATGTTCCAAACAACTCTGTGAGTTTTCACATTATAGACATGCATGCTTCAAATTTGGCTGTTTTTTTTTTTAAATTTATTTATTTTTATTTTATTTGCATTGGTGCTTTTGCCTTCATGTATGTCTATGTGAGGGTGTCAGAACTTGGAGTTACAGACAGTTGTCAGCTGCCATGTGGGTGCTGGGAATTGAACCCTAGTCCTCTGGAAGAGCATTCAGTGCTCTTAACCGCTGAGCCATCTCTCCAGCCCCAAATTTGGCTGTTTTATTACTCATATGCGTGTGTATGTGTGCATGAGTGCATGTGTGTGTCCGTGTGTCCAGTTGTATATGTGTGTAGGTATTCATGCATGTGTGTGTGTATATATGGAGGCCAGAGGTTAACCTCGGGTGTTGTTCCTCAGGAGCTGTCCATCTTGTTTTTCATTCCCCCCCATCCCCCGCTCCCTGTTGCAGTTTTGGTGTTTGTCCTGGATCTCGCTCTATAGACCAGGCTGGCCTCAAACTCACAGAGATCCGCCTGCCTCTGCCTGCCGAGTGCTGGGATCAAAGGCGTGCACCACCACCGCCTGGCTTCCATCTTGGTTTTTAAAATTGCTCACTGGCCTGGAATTCACAAATTCAACTATATGACTTGACCAGTGAATTCCAGGAGTTCACCTGTCTCTTAATACCCTAAGAGCTGGGATCACAAACATGTGCTGTCTTGTTTGATTGTTGTGGGTAAGTGGGTGTGTGGAATGTGTATGGTACACACATGTGGGTCTGTGGGTGTTTGTGTATTGGGAGTTCACAGCAGGCCATTGGATGTCTCCCTCTATTCTTTGCCTTATTGCTTTGAGACAGAATCTCTCACTGAAGAGGAATCTGGCCAGTGAACTAATGCTTGGGGTTACAAGCACATGTAGCCATGCCTGGCTTTTTATTTTTCTCCTCAAGGAAGGGTTTCTCTGTGTAGCCCTGGCTGTCCTGGAACTCACTATGTAGACCAGGCTGACCTCAAACTCACAGAGATCCACCTGCCTCTGCCTTCCAAGTGCTGGGATTAAAGGCATGAGCCACTACTGCCTGGCTCATACCTGGCTTTTTACATGGAATAGAACTCAGATCCTAGGCTTGTAGGACAAAGACTTTACTGAGTAAACCATCCTTCCAGCCCCTTATACTTAACTTTACTGTGAACTTATACGGCAGTGACTTCAGAGAACTCCTAGTTTGACCTCACAAGTGGCCCCAACTCCCATATGACTTGGAGAGTAAGGTCTAAGAGTGAGCTGTGGGAACCTACCTCAGGATGATCTGGGGCTATAGCCCATGAACTCGAGGTGAACAGTTCCAGTATGTTTCTTGTTGACTGCATATCATCCGTCACCCTACATGTCAGCATAAAGATTTTATTTCTGTTTAAGTTTAAAACAGTGAAAAGAAATGTGGGTGCGGTGGCTTACACCTTTAATTCCAGCACTCAGGAGGCAGAGGCAGGGGGATCTCTGTGAGTTCCAGGCCAGCCTGGTCTACAGAGTGAGTTGCAGGACAGCCAGGGCTACACAGAGAAACCCTGTCTCTAAAAACAAAACAAGAAACAGTGAAAAGGAGAGCAAGGCTTTGAGGTGAAAGGCTGGTCTGGAGAGTGGCATTTTCAGTTGATGTTTACAAAAAGGTTTCGCTCCCTTTGACTATTTCCTTTGAAACTGGAATCAACTTTGACGTACATTAGAACAGAAGGGACGTGGCTAAGTGGTGGTGCACTGACCCAGAGTAAGTGAAGCCCTGGGTGCCCTCCAGACCCCAAAATCAAATATGAGAAGGAAAACCAGGGGCTGGACAGATGGCTCAGTGGTTAAGAGGACTGGCTGCTTTTCCAGAGGATCTGGGGAAGTTCCCAGGACCCACATCATGAGGCTTACAACTGCCTATACTCCAGCTCCAGGGGATCCAAGGCCTTCCTCTGGCCTCTGCAGGTACTGTAGACGTGGTACACAGGCAGACATTCAGACCCACCCATATACATACACAATATTTTTTTAATAAAAGCATCTAAAACATAATAAGTACAAAGGAGATCAGTCAAGGAGAACGGTTGACACTGATTTTTGATCTCCATGACCAGATAGATGTACACACACCTACACACACATGCACATACCACAGACACGTGCATACACAAAATGAAATGATAGTTTTTCAAACCACAGAAAAGTACCCCAAATAAGGATTTTCTGTGGCAATGTTAAGAACTTTATATTCTTACTGAGTTATTTATTTTATGGGTTAAAAAATGTGGTTGCCATGGAACTGCTCAGGGCATTTCCAGTTTATTTGATCATAAATGAACATCAGTGAGTAGCATGCAATGGACAATTTTATGCAAGAGGCCCAAGTGAGAAGGCGGGAGATGGCATTACACGCAGACAACTCAGAACGCAGGTCGGGTAAATAGCTCACTGAGAACTCGGGGGCCCTGTCTGATCTCCCTGGAAGAATTAGGAAGAGGTATGGTGGAGCATGCCTGTAATTACAGAAAACAGTGGGCTGAGACAGGAGGATTGCTGGGAATTTGAGACCAGTCTGTCTTAAACAACAACAAAAACAAAAACAAAAAAGGGGAACAAAAACTGTGGGCATGGCAGCAGAAGGATCAGGAGTTCAAGGCCAGCCTCAGCTATGTAACAAGTTTGAAGACAGCATAGACCCCCCACTTCAGGGAAGGCAAACACAGAAACAACAACAACAAAACCCAAAACCAAACAAAAAGAAACAAGTGTTTGCATTTAATATTTACATCTTTCTCAAAGCAATCATTCTTTGACCTCACAATTCATTGTCTAACTAGGTCGGTAAAATGGAAGTCTTTAAAAACAAGGGTTTATCTGATATGATTTGACTATTTCCTCCCAAGCTCATATGGAAACCTAGCTGCCACTGCAGCCATAGTAACAGGTGGGCCCTTAGAAGGTTTATGTTACAAGGGCCCCAACTTGAGGAGTGGATTAAGGCCACTGTCCTTAGAGTGGGTTAGCTGTCTCGGGAAAGGGTTCCTGATAAAAGTGGAATGGGTGTGACTTGATATTTAGTCTGATGCCCTTTTCTGGTCTGTTCTCCCATCCCCAGCACTGTATGCACACATTACACACACATACATGTGGTCAAAACACTCACACACATAAAATACATTTTTTAAAAAGGAATCTGGAGAGATGGCTCAGCAGTTACAAGTACTTGTTCCTTTTGCAGAGGACTGGGTTTTACTTCCCAACACCCACATAGGATGGCTTACAACTGACTGCAGTTCCATAGGACCTGATGACATCTTCTAGCCTCAGAGGAATGTGGTGCACACAGACAAGCAGGCACATACATACACACACATTTAAAAAATGTGAAAGATCTTTTAAAATTTTTGAGTAAATAAAAAATAAAAGTCATAAATGGGGGTAGGGGTGACCTTGAAGTGACAAATATAGTCTACATAACAGAGTAATGAGGATAATGAAAATGTCAGTTTTTTTCTGTAATGTATCATACATTAAATTATAACTACCTTTTTACAGTTCAGTCATGGGAGTTTTCACAAGCATGTTCATTTTTTAATTGGGATGTCACTATGTCGAATTCAGTGAACTAATTACAATGAGAAGCAAAAGGGGGTGCGTGATAAGTTAAAACTAAAATTGCAATCTTTTCCCACAGGGTTCAGAGCCACTTGACAGGCCAGGTTGAGTTCTTCAGCCTTAGTCTAAAACAGTTGAACACAGGAAATTTCATGCCGGTAGAGGGCGCGCTCGAGACCAAGAGGCTGCCGAAAAGAAAGGCAGCTCGTGTAGACAGCAGGACAGAGAATCCCAGCTAGCTCCGTGTGTGTGTGTGTGTGTGTGTGTGTGTGTGTGTGTGTGTGTGTGTGTGTGTGTGTGTGTGTAAATCCCAAACGAAGAAAGGCAGCTAGTGTAGACAGCAGGACAGAGAATCCCAGCTAGCTCCGTGTGTGTGTGTGTGTGTGTGTGTGTGTGTGTGTGTGTGTGTGTGTGTGTAAGTCCCAAACGACCCCATAAGACAACTGAAACATCTGTTTGTATCTGTGTTTGACAGGGTCCCGCGCACCCCAGGCTGACCTCAGGTTGGAGGATGACCTTGAATTTCTCATCCCACTACAGGATGGGTATTGTATCACAGTGCTGGATTTAGGCAGTGTTGGGGGAATTGAACCCAGGACCTCATGCATATTAGGCAGGCACTCTATCAACAGAGGTACATCTCCAGCCTTGAAAGTGAGCCAGTTGTTTAGTGGGTGCCCCGTGAAGTCCGAATATGAACAAACCTATAGTCAGTCTCAACCTCTTCTCCACACCACCTCCTCCCTTCTCCCTTGCCCTGGACCTCTCACTTCTTTGACCAGGCAAAAGAGAATCTTTCTAATCCCTAATAAGCACCCCCAGGCACCCTTGCTAATGAGCCTGAGCCTGAACCAACTTTTCTGCAGGAAGAAAGGGCTTAATTGGTAAGCAGAGATGAGCTCATAAAACCTCGTCAGGCTGTGGCAGCCTCTACCCTTTAATGGCTGTGCTAGGTCTTCACTGTCCCCTTTCCTCTCTGGAGATGCTGGATCAGAGCGGCTCCCGGGGGCTCAGCATCCGCCACCCTGGTCCATCCGCGCGTGATCCTGCACCCTCCGAGCCTCCACCCCCATCAGGACACCCTGACACAGAGACACCCGCGCCTTCGGAGGTCGCTGGCTGTAGTCCCAATCACTGTCTACTTCGAGTAGTAAACTGGGGCCTCGAGAACCCCGGAGCCGGAGGCCGGGCGCGGAGGTGACGCGCGCTCTGGTGTCCGGGGCGCGCGACGTCCTGGACGGTGCGCATCCCCGCCTGCAGCTCGGGGCACGAGGGAGTACCGCCGCCCTGCCCAGGTCCCTCTCTTCCCCGACCCTGTCCCGGGAAATCGCCCCGTGAGGATCCCCAGGAAGAGCTGCAGCCACCAGTATCGACCGGTATCCGCCAGTATCCGCCGGCTCAAAGATGCTCCAACCCTGCGGCAGTCCCTGGCCTTAGCACAGCCCCAGGATACTCACCGCACGCAGTCCGCAGGACAACGGTCTCACTCGGCTCCGAGTCTCGACCCGTGAACTTCCAGGTCCTCTCTAAGAACCCGGGGCCACAGGGCGTGGGGATTGGTGGCAATATCGACTAGCATCCTGCAGATGCGGTGCCTGGGGCTCGGCTCTTCGCCCGGCTCCGTGCGCTCGGTGCAGGGCTCCCGGACTCGCCCTCCGCTCGCTGTCTGGCCAGGTGAACCTTCTGGAGCCTAAGGCTCGATGCTTCCGTCCCGGAGCCTTTAAAAAGGGTGCATTTGGAAGGATCCGAGCCTACCCCGAGCTTCCTTCCAATCCGTGCAATTTCCGATCTTCACGCTGCTTCATTCCTATACCGGCTAATTCTGGTTTGGCAGGAAGAAAAAAAAAATCTGTGAGCTCCTCACAGGCACACTCTTGTGGCCGGTTGAATGTTATCGCCTTGGCTAAGATTCGTCAATGCTGTGCACGTTTGCAGCCTTAGGAAATGGCTAGAAATCTCCGGGGTGTGGGGGAAATCAGAAGTTTTTTTTTTTTTTTTTCCTGGACTTAGGAGGAGAAGTATTGAACCAGACCTTCATATGAGTCTCGGCCAAAAAACAGCAGTTTGTAGAGCGAAGAGGAGGGATTTCAATACTCATGGCCACAGTGGACTGAAAATCCTTCATTTTTGTCTCAGCGTTGGTACCTCCTCTTTCCATCGTTCTGAAGTACCTGTTATCTACGCTCATAGGCTGGCAACACAATGTTTTGCTCTCAAAGAGTTCTTAGGTATTTTGTTAAATAAACGAAAAAAGCGCTCTTTAACCTCACCTGACCTGTTCCGTACTTTCCTGCTATAAATGACCAAACGTAGTGGCTGAAAGCAACACAGATCATTATTTTACATTTCTGACCAGTCAGAACCTGAAATGGGCCTTACTGGGCTGAAATTCAGAGCGCTGGCACTCTGAAGGCTGTGTTCTTCCTGGCAGCGCTACTAGTGGAGCTTCTGCAGGCTGCCCACATGCCTTGGCTGGCAGCCACTCCCCATCTTCAGAACCATCTACACTGCATCATTCTGTCTGTCTTGGGCACTAGGTCACACTCGGTCTCCATTGTTTGCCCCTCTTTCTTCCCTTTTCATTTAAATCTTTCAAACGTGTAAAATTTATTTATTGTGTGTGCATGTGCTTGTCTGCCACAGTACGTGTGTGGAGGTCAAAGGATAGCCTTTGGGAGGCAGTTTCCTTCCACCCTGTGGGTTCTGCGGATTAGGCAGGCTTGGTAGCAAAGACCTTTTACTACTGAGTATTCTCTCCAGCCCCTTCTCTTCCACTTGGGGTTATCTTGGTCCTGCCTGGATAACTCACACATCTATTTTAAGGCCAGCTGACTAGCAAGGTACTTCCATCTGCTACCTTGATTCTCCTTCCGCCATTTAAGGTCACATAGTCACAGGTTCCTGGGATTCAGATGTAGATTCCTTTGGGAGAACCAATTATGCTGCTCACCTTAGACTTTCTTTCCTCCCTCCTTTCCAAAAGATGTTCCTGTGTATTTTATATTATTGTTGCCTTTATTGTTTGTTTGTTTTTTAGTTAAAATTTTTTTTTTGAGAGACAGCAGTTCATGTGCCCCAGGCTGGCCTGGAAGTAGCTACGTAGCTGAGGATGGCTTTGAACTTCAGATCTTCCTGCCTTCACTTCCCACGTGCTGGGATTATAGGCATATACCACCACAGGCAGTTTATGCAGTGCTGGGGATGAAACACAGGACTTGGTGCATGCTAGGGAAATGGTCCCCTGGTTGAGCTCCATTTCCAGCCTTCCCAAATTCATCTTAATAACTGAGATGATTGTGAGGAATGGCTAAATGAGGACATTGTCTCCAGTGCTGGTAGCAGAACAAATGGATGGTGAGTACTCCCTTGGTTGTTCTTCTCAGATGTCATGCAAACAGGCTTTTGACGGCAAGTCAAGAGCCGGAAGCCAGGTGTGGCGGCTCACACTTACACAGTCCTAGCACTTGGGAGGTTGGGAAGTTCAAGGCTAGTCTGGGCTACAGAAGAGCATTTTTTTTTTTTAAGGTGTAGAGTTCCAAGCAAGTATCTCAAGTACAGATGATCCATCTGTCTTTAAAAGAAGTGTTATGGATTGAATTGGGTGTGAGACATCCCTCACAGGCTCATGACTGAACACTTGGTCCCCACCATCGATGTTGTTTGGGGAGGTTATGGAAAGCTTGGGACATGTGGTGTGCCTAGCAGAAGTGAGTGGCTGTGGGCAGACTTTGAAGATTATCTGTTCCTGGTGCTGGCCTGACTCTCGACTCTCTGATCCATAAGAAAAGAGACACTGATATAAAAAAAATTGTAAAATGCAGTAAAGGCATCCAGACTGGGAAAGGAAATATAAAATGATCTCTAATGTCAGGCGATATGATTATATCTAGAAAATGATGGACACCCATGAAAACAGAGGACTAGTCAATGGGCTCAGTGAGGTGCCAGAGCAGTTTATGTACAATAGCATCAAAGAGAACTTTCAAGGTCGGGAACCAAGTTTAGTGAAGTACTGTGCTCTGAAAAGTTGCAGGAGGTTATTGAAAGAAATGGAAGAAAAAATTGAATGAATGTGGGGCTGGAGAGATGGCCCAGCGGTTCAGAGCACTGACTACTCTTCCAGAGGACCTGGGTTTGATTCCCAGCACCCTCATGGCAGCTCACAACTGTCTGTGATTCCAGTTCTAGGGGATCTGGCACCTTCACATACATACAGGCAAAACACCAAATGCACATAAAAATAAATAAATCTTAAAAAAAATTGAATGAATGCATACATCTCTCCAGGCACCTGTGGCCTCCAGTCCTAGGATGTTTCTCTAAGTCTGGCTTGTCTGGTTGGGTTCCCTGCAAGAAAAGGTCACACAGATATTTTTCAGGAAGAGTGCCAGTATTAAGAAACTCTTAACACTGTGTGATTGGCCATGATTTAACTGAGGCACTGTCCTGTCCCTGTTGAGGCAGTTGAGCATGCAGGGCAGAAGCCAGGAGTGTGTGGTGCTTAGGTGTCTAAGTCAGCTGAACCTGAGCAGGAAGCAAACTCTTCCACTGTGCATCTATGTGACTTGGCCATCAGCCCCAAAGTGGAGATAGTCGCAATGCTTACATCATAGAGTTATTACAAAGGTTAAATGATGCTGTGTGTCAAGCACCCTGTCCCTACATTGTTAAGGAATATGTTTCTGTTTCTCTAAGAAAAAAATTTTAACTGAGTGGCGGTGGCACATGCCTTTAATCCCAGCACTCTTGAGGCAGAGCAAGGTAGAACTCTGTGAGTTCGAGGCCAGCCTGGTCTGCATAGCAAATTCCAGGACAGCTGGGGCTACACGGTGAGACCCTGTCTCAAAAGCAAAAAATGAACCATCCAAACAAAAATCCCAGAGACTCTTTGGAGTCAGTGAAATTTCAGTTCTCAACATTTATTTCACATCTTTTCTTTGGGCAGGGGGTGGGAATGGGGTTGTGTTTAATGTGACACTAGTGATGAGATTAAACTCCAGGAATTGAAGAAGCAACTGTAGAAGCAACTGAGGCGTGCCCAGCTAGGCTAAAGCCAGGTTGCTCCGCATGAAGTGAAGGAAGACTGTTACCAAGGCCAGCAAGGTGACACCAGGATTTACACACTAGTGGAAAGTTTAAAGACCAATTTAAAGAACGTCGGCACATTGGCCACTGCTGACCCTTGGTCAGGCAGTACAGGTGAGAAGCCATCAGTCAATGCCTACATCTCCACAAATGTACAGGTCTACAAAAACAACCTCAAAAACGAGACTCGGGCCCTGCTGAAACCTTGCTCTTGGGAGAAAGAAGATCCTCTTTTATGTTTGGTTCTCTTTCTCCTACTGCAGTTTCATGTGAGGAAAAAGTAATTTTTTTCTTCATATTAATTTTCAATTTTGATTTGTTAGACTTCACCCCAGACAAGTGTGGCTTATCACTCATCTTGATGAAAAGAAACACTGCGGCCGGAGGGCTCATGCAAGTCTACATCAGCTGAGGCTCTTCACACCTTGTAATGATCCCTTTTAGGCAAGGTGTAGAGGTGACACACCTTTAACCCAGCACTTGGGGGGCTGAGGTAGGTGGCTCTCTGTGAGTTTGAGGCCAGCCTGGTCTATATATAGTGAGTTCCAAGACAGCCAGTGCTACATAGACAGACCCTGTCTTAAAAAACCCAACATCTATGTGTCTTTTTGTTTGTTTGTTTGTTTGTTTGTTTGTTTTGAGACAGGGTTTCTCTGTGTAACTGCCCTGGTTGTACTGGAACTTGCTCTGTAGACCAGGCTGGCCTGGTGCTCAGAGATCTGCCTGCCTCTGCCTCCCGAGTGCTGTGAGCCACCAGCACCTGGCCTCTATCTGTCTTTAAATTTTAGGTTTATTTATGTTTATGTGTTGCCTATATGTAGTATGTATGTGTACCATGTGTGTGCCTGGTACCTCCTGAGATCAGAAGGAGGAGCTGTATCCACTGGAACTGCACTTGCAGATGGTTGGTAACCACCATGTAGGTGCTGGGAATCAAACCTGGGTCCTCTGTGAGAGCAGTCAGTGTTCTTAACCACTGAGCCAGTTCTCCAGTATCGCCTGTGGGATCCTCAACAAAGATTATATGACATAACATCTGATGGTATATATGTCAACCAAACCCAAGTTGATTGACGTTGTACAGAATAATTGCCCAGTACTCTTCTACAAGGTCAGTGTCAAGGGAATGAGGCATGAGACTCAGTGGTGGAGCAGTTGCCCAGATCATTCAAGGCCCAAGACTTCAAAACAAAATCCAAAAAAATTAAAGTCTCCTGAAAGACCATTATTTGAGACTAGTCCAGATTAAAGGAGACACAAGACAAGACATTTAGTGGCAGTGTGTGGGCCTGGATCACTTTAACCGATAATGATGAGTTCACTGGCTTCATCTGTCTGGGGTCTAGAGATTGGGTAACTGGGGTCTAGAGCCTGGGTGATACTGCCCTGTTTGTCTTTGGGGCTTTGAAAGTGAGGGCTATAGTGCTGGGATTGAAGAAGACACTTGTTTCATCTCTGCAAAATGCTTACCAAAGTGTAAAAAGTACCTAAAGTTTTTAGAACAATGCCGGGCAGTAACTCTCCATGAAACTTGGCAGGTATTTTTAACAATTTTCCCCCCTCAGTGTTGAATTCCCTGTAGTGGTCCACATTCTCCTACTGTAGTGGTTTGAAAAAGTTTGTCCCCCGAAAGGGAGTGTCACTAATGGGAGGTGTGGCCTTGTTGGAATGGGTGTGGTCTTGTTAGAGGAAGTGTGTCACTGTGGAGGCGGGCTTTGAGGGCTCAAATGCTCAAGCCACGCCCAGCGAGACAGACCACTTCCTGTTGCCTGTGAGTAAAGATGGTAAGAACTCTCAGCTCCTTCCCCAGCACTGGGTCTGCGTGCTGCCTTGCTTCCCGCCATGGCAGTGATGGACTAAACCTCTGAACTGTAAGCGAGCTACCCCATTCCAGAGGGATAAGAGTCCATCATGGTGGGGTTAAGGGAAGGCATGGTGGCAGGCAGCAGGCATGGTGATAGGAGTGTGAAGCTGAGAGGTCCATCTTCACCAGCGAGCATGAAGCAGACAAGCTGGAGCTGAGGCAAGGCTGTGAATTCTCAAAGCCCGCCCCTAGAGGCGTGCTTCCTCCAGCAAGGCCACACCTCCTAAACTTCCCCAAGCAGCACTACCAACTGGTGACCAAGTACTCAAATAATGAGCCCGTGGGGACAGTTTTCATGTCACCACATGTCCTTTAAGGCACTTATGTGTTGGGCATCTAGAAAGTGAGTCTGTCTGTGGTACTCAGAGCTGGACTATGTGGATGAGACTCCATGGTCCTGGCAGAGCAAGCTTGTGCCCAGTGTGGAGAAGGTTGCTGGTAGAAGCAATCGTGGCGATTCCTTCATGCAGTTTCCTGTAGTTCCTTTCCCCTGTGGGATGTCAGGTGGAGGATGAGAGAAGGGTCGAGAAAAAGTGCCTACTTAAAGCCCCATGTGGCTTCCCAGTTCCTTTTGTAAAAGCTCCCCCGGGAGCCAGGGCGTGAGAACAGAGGTGGAAGTGATGGCACACACCCGCGATCCCAGTACTTGGGAAGCTAGGGAAGGAAATCGCAAGTTTAAGACTGGCCTGGACCACAGAGTAAGTTTCAGGCCAGCTTAGAGCTTGAAGCAAGACTCCATCTCAAAACAAATAGATAATGCGCCTCCCTTTCCTATCCCGAGGACCTGGGCAGCTATGCTTGACTGTGAAGACATGGCTTGGTTCAAGAACCAGTCCCGAAAATGGCACAGAAATTATACTAAGACACACCAGGCACAAAGCGATGAGTTCCTGGGGAACATACATTTTTGCAAAGAAGCCTAACAAGAGCCTGAAGAAGATACAGCCAGAGGATGCCAAGAACCAGTCAAAGAGAAAGTCTCGTTTGGAGTTAAAAGGTCTCTTTTTTCTAAGATTTACTTATTTTATGTGTATCAGTGTTCACCTGTGTGTGTATCTGTACTATGTGCATGGTGCCTGGTGCCTGTAGGAGCCAGAAGAGGGTGTTGGG